TTAGTGGAGCAAGGTGAGCGTGCACCAACTGAAGAGACTGAGGGGGGGGGAGGACGTTAGTGGAGCAAGGTGAGCGTGCACCAACTGAAGAGACCGAGGAGGGGGAAACGTTAGTGGAGGCGAGTGAATTTAATTGCGAAAACCTGTGGAAACCACGTGCGCGAACGTACCGCTAGGTATGTGTGTAAGAACGCGACGTGTGTTGACCTATATTGATTAGCGGTCACCTTCACTACTCCTTCCTTCTGCCCATGTACCATTATCAGATGCTTCTAATCCTGCTCCCTGCCTATTACCCCTCCATATAACTTAGCGAACACCTCCTTTACTGCCCCCATATTACATATCTACGCAGTCTCCTCCTTTACTGTCCCCCACCCCTACCACATATCTATGCAGCCTCCTCCTTTCCACCCCCGCCCCTGGCCCCGTCCATGCTCCTTAGTGGACTCCTTGTTTCCCTCCCTCCTCCCCTGCTTCCTCCCGGCCCCGCCCACGCACCTTAGGGAACTCCTCCTTTCCCGCCTCCCTTCTCCCGGCCCCGCCCACTCACCTTAGCAGACGCCTCGGCGAGGTCGAGCGCCGTCTTGCCGTCCGTGTTGCGGATGCCCGGGTCGGCGCGGTGCTGCAGCAGCACGATGCACACGTCGATCTTGCCCTTGATCGCGGCTTCGTGCAGCGGCGTGTAGTTCCAGTTGTCGCGCGCGTTTGCGTCGGCGCCGTGCGTCAGCAGCAGCGAGACGACCTCGGCGTGCCCGAACGAGCAGGCGTTGTGCAGCGGGATGAGGCCGCCATCGTCGCGGCTGTGCACGTCCGCGCCGCGCTCCAGCAGGTGTTCAACGACGTCGCGGCGGCCGAACCCCGCGGCGAAGTGCAGCGGCGTCGACCGCCGCCCCGCCGTGTCCTTTGCGTTGACGTTGCCCGGGCCGACGAGCTTCTTGACGCGCGAAAGGTCGCCGTTGCGGCACGCCTCGAAGAGTTCGCGACCCGGGTCACCCGGCGCGCACTCCGTCGGCAGCGTCTGCCCGACGGCCGTTCCCCGGCGCGTCGCCATGGTGACGGCGGTCGGTGTCCGGTCGAGCAGAGTCGGAATTCTACTCCATTTAGGCGGCGTTCCGTTTTAATCCCGGGCAGAGGAACTCGGTTTTTATTGTTGACCTATCAACCCCAATATCACTAATGCAAGATTCCAGCAGAATGTTACTCTGTGATGCCACGCCCTTGAAGGTTTCCTGCACCTGTACAAAAAAGAACAGCGAGTGAAATTACAATTTGACCTTTTCACGATAGGTATACTTGTAAATAGCATTTATATTTTGCATAAAAATTTAAAAAAAATAGTAAGACAATTATTAAACTAGGTAAAAATAGAAAAAAATTCTAGGTAACTTTTATTATCGCTAACAGTAAAATTACTCGTTAGTCGTTATGTAAACCATGTATAAATGTCCAGTGTTTGTTTGCATTAAATAAAACAGAAAAATAAGGATACAGCAAAGAATTGAAAATAAAAATAAACTGATACGAAATTGCAGTTAACAGTTTGTAAAAAAAAGTGTAGAATAACTATTGTTTCCGGTAGAATACTTACTTTATATTTACCACAATTCAAGTCAAATATGCTAATACTATTCTAATAAAAATGGTTTCTAGGATACTTGTATATGATATGTACCTGTCGTAATTCGCCTATTGAGGCTTCTCGATGTACATATAAAGATCAAGATTTGTAGTTAATTAACTAGCCTTCTATGGGCAACGAGTTTTTTTTAATGAAAGTGAGACATTTCTAAGTAATATCTATTAGGGTGTGCCTTTAGTCAATTATAGTCTAGTCCTTATTGTTTGTGAAAGGATTTGTATGTAATTGGTTGGTTTGTTGGCAATTATGTGTCAATGTGTACTAGACATACTTTATGTATATTTTATCCTGGATTATTAGCATTGCTTAACATTTTATTACTGTACATTTTGTTTGTAATGTATGAATTATACTATTGATACTAGCTAGGTAATATATTAATTGAAAAATATAAATCAAATACGTTATCCAGCAGCACCGCCACAGCACTGGGCTAGATCTCAGACGAACCAACACACAATTAAATTTCCCATTCCACTTACAGGTTCTAACATAATCTGCTCAGTTTTGTCGAAAATTTTACCATAACTTTTGTTCACACCAAGGACCCATAGACTATATAGCATAGTCTGGGCCGATCACATAGTGGATCCAGAGGGGCTACTTTGCCGTGTGCGTGGCTGCCGCTATCATCTATGCCCTATGCTGCATGCAGTCACAGGTCCCTATATCCAACACGAACCCCTAATGCGAGCACCGAAGGTGTGAGAAGGTAGGACACACAATTTCACGAATGTCCGATATCAATGAAAGATTTTGATTCTCAATAAAAATATGCACATTCCCGTATTCCTACTTTGTTGTACTAACCTCCCCTGTATATGTTTGCACTGTCGATGATATTTGACAGCGTTAGGAGAGTAAAATCCGTCGCCAGTAAAAAATTAACAGTTTCCACACGTTCAATGGCGGTCATGGTGTTGACATATTTCGCTACGATTTCGAGCTGAATATAATGCCGCCACCTGATTGGACAAAATTCGAAACACAAGTCGCCGCCATTTTTGTAACGTGTGGTAACTGTTAATTTTTCACAAATATGGAATATATGCTATATACGCTGTAAAACATGATTGACAGTTCAACCAAAGACGCCGGAGACAACAATACAAACTAAGAACGTGTATGCACATGTATTTTAATTGAAACAAATCCGATTTGATAAAATCGTGAAATTGTGTGTCCTACCTTCTCACACCTTCGGTGCTCGCATTGGGGGTTTGTGTTGGATATAGGCACAGGCACTTGAAGCGTTTCAATAAAATATAATGCTAACTAAATACGAAATCTATTTACTACCGAATTCTTAATGTTTCTATACTCTCTTTCACCTATTATTGCCGACAGTTTTCTGTAAATTCCATCCAAATCCTACGTCCAACCATATACGCTGCCGGCGCCATTGCTTTCGCGGCGCGACTGTTGCACACTTACACTAATATATATAGCAGGTAGGAAATATATAGCGGGATCGTAAAATTCACTCGACGCTCGCTTGATTTCACACGATTACAACACGAATACACATCCAACACTTCCAACCATTCCACAATTCTCGCGTTCGCGAACCTTCCACAGTAATGTAAATGGCTGTCAGAATCAGGAAACATCTACCGGCGCTCTTCGTTACCTCATTCTTGCGCCGCAACGCTGCAACGTTTTTGCAACGTTCCAATGGCCGAGGCTCGTACAGGAGTTGGAAAGCAGTGAGCCGCCTGCGCGCCGCCTATAGTCCATAGACTGGCACTCGCTCCCACCTCTCGGCTTAGCTTAGTCACTCGATAGGTAATCGATGTGGGAGCGAGTCCCAGTCTATATAGCCCTGTATTCTGACAGCCATTTACATTCCTGTGGAAGGTTCGCGAACATGAGAATTTCGTCAGTCTTTGTGTGATTTCGCGTGACACAGCTCGGTTATGAACAGACAGTATGTTTTTATAACAAGTGAACATTTATGTACACATAGAAACAAAGATGGAAGCTGTTGGATGTGTATTGCCACTATTGGTGTTGTAATCGTGTGAAATCCAGCGAGCGTCGAGTAAATTTTGCGATCCTGCTTTCCTACCTGCTATATATATTAGTGTAAGCGTGCAACAGTCGCGCCGCGAAAGCAATGGCGTCGGCAGCGTATATGCCATGGTTGAACGTAGGATTTGGACGGAATTTACAGGAAACTGTCGGCAATAATAGGTGAAAGAAAGTATAGAAACATTAAGAATTTGGTAGTAAATATATTTCGTATTTAGTTAGCATTATATTTTATTGAAACGCTTCAAGTGCCTGTGGATATAGACTTTATAGGGACCTGTGCATGCAGTCAGTCAATGACAATATTTACAATTTTCGAAATAACACTTCGTGCAGCTTTAATGAACATAACTGCGTATGAGCGAATGATATAACAAATACCTGAACTGATCTTCACCAGCAAAAATGCGTATTACATTATTATGTTGGCTAAAGACAGCTTAAAACAACACTTTTTCATAAAACAGCAAAACATTGAAATAGTACCGTAGCAAAATCCAATCTTTCTCTTCTTCCGTTTCCACGGATATAGATGGCATGACAATATCTTGGTGACGTCACGACGTTGGCTCAGAGATATTAAACTGAAAAAATTTCTGTTTTTGAAAGAATCTGGTCATGACAACAAAATTTAAATTTCAATAGTATTGCGACGCATAGGTATGAGTTAAAATTATATTATTAGGGAATTGTAGCCAAATGTTCGACCGATAATGTTCACCGATAAGCGAAGCGATAAGCGCGCCATCTAATGGCTAATCAGTGCGAATGTATTATTTTTAAAGATTTCAATATTTGCCCATATTTTACATCATTTTATCATACAATTTGTATGCAGGTTAGGAGCAGTTCTTTCTATATATCTATATCTATATCTATATATCTATATACTATATGTGTGTGCTGTAGTGTAGGCCCTAACCATCAGATCACGTCATGTATTTGTATTGTAAATATCATTCAACATCGTGTCTTGGAACGTAATACTAATAATATTAATATTAATAATGACTAATGTAACATCAAATATGTACTGTAACTATAGAGAGTACGGTATAGACTATAGTGTATGGCTGACTCGATGACCGCAAGGTCCTTTCGCCATACCCGTGCATTATATTTATATTAACAAAGTTATAAATGTTTAATTTTCCCACTGTTTGATTTATCCTCGTTTAGCACAAATAAAAATCTTGAAAATCTTGAAATCTTGACTGTTTAATGTTTATGTACGCATTACAGTGAGCAACAGCGACCATGTCTACTAGTACTGAGTCGTATTCATCAACGGACGGTCGAAATGAAGCCTACTCCCTACTACGATCACAGTCACAACCACAGCAACCAGCACAGGCACAGAAACAGGTGAAGGTTGTCCGAAAGACATTTTACAGTTATCAACATCATCACAAACGTGCAGACCATACACTTTGATCGGAGCTTCTAAGTCTCGGTGACTCGTAAGACTCGTAGCGGTACTAATACTAGTAGTAGTATATACCTATTTACGAGGTCGAGGACTCTTTCACAATCCTAGTTTGGCACCCAGCCCTCATTTTCGCAAATGTGCTGAACTAGGACTGGGCAGGTCTCTCCACAGGCACTTGGACCGTTTCAATAATAAAATGATGGTTAATAAATACAACTTGTCGGTACTACTACTAGCCCTATCAGTACCAGTAATAGTCTTAATGTTTGATTTGACCTAATAACTTCACTTCAACACCGTCCAATACACCGCTGCAACACATAGCGCGCACGCCCTTGTGCATGCACAAATACACAGTGATATAGAGTGTGTATGCACAAATACACAGTGATATACTCTATATCACTGTGTATTTGTGCATGCACAGGGCGTGGCACGCTATGTGTTGCAGCGGTGTATTGGACGGTGTTGAAGTGAAGTTATTAGGTCAAATCAAACATTAAGACTATTACTGGTACTGGTACTGGTAGGGCTAGTAGTAGTACTGACAAGTTATATTTATTAACCATCATTTTATTATTGAAACGGTCCAAGTGCCTGTGGGTCTCTCAGTCTCAGTGCCCACAGTTGCCCCAAGTCTCCCCCATACTAAATAATCTAGCTGACCCCTGCATGCCGATGAAGTCCATGGCACTGATAAAGTTTTCTGTGTTCAGCACACACCAGAGTGAAGTGCAGTCAGGTATTGTATATTTCATTCTTGCTCAGTCAAAGTACCACAGCTTATAATCCATTAAAAAAAAATACAAAAAAAACAATAACAACAGCAAACATTATATAGCACATGAAATGTTATTTCACCTGGCCAGAACCCTGAGCATAATGTAGTTGATAATAAGTTAATAATATTTTATTAATCCTTTTAAAATTTTAGGCTGGAATCATATTCACACCAGATGAGTTAAGAGTATTGAAGGAATGCAATAGGGAATCATTCTGGAAGAGAAGTATGAATGTAGAAACCATTGTTAATTTTCATAGTTACAATAGCTACATGTACATGAACTTAAAACTAATGTGATATTGCATCAATTACTGTAAAGATGTGTCACCATCCTCTGTAGTATTTGTCAGAATTACAAGTATTGTCTCCATATTTCAAGGTCCTGTTCCCCCATACCTTTGCCCAATGGTCACCTTTATGGAATTAACAATGAATTCCTTTCACTGACAGGTTTACCTGCATCTATGGGGAGCATGGTTGCAGTGCAACTGGCAGTGAATATGGGCTATATAAAGGCTCATCCAACGTTTGGTTCCTTCTTTAAGGTTGTGGGTAGGTTCAATCTTTTATTTGCAATTAAAAAAAAGCAAGTGTTATATTGGGAGAATTGAAATATAACACTTTGTATACATAGTGGAAGGGTGATGTATCTACATACTGATAATGAACAGACCAGACCAACTTAGCACTTAGTGCAATTAAAATGTATGTAAGAGTATAATACACAATCAATTGGCCTCACTTTTTAAGGCGAGGGGTCGCTTTCACATCCCATCACTCGTCTAAAACTGACCTTCCATAAATAATGGTTGAATGAATATAGTCCAACTCATCTGAATTGCCTCCTAAACAGGGCTGAAAAGTGGGTTGTTACCAATTCATTTTCTATTCACGATAGTTTTTTTCTCCCTTATCAGTTGATTTAGATGGGTTGGTTAGTGTTAAAGTTGGTGTACTTTGGTTACAATCAATTTACCTGTTAATTGCAGGAGCTGGGTTTCTCGGATACATGATGGGAAAAATCTCGTACCAGACGCGATGTAGAGAGAAGCTGCTACAGCTGGAGAACAGTCCTCTAGCAGATGCTCTACGGATGGGACAGAGCGGCAGGGAACACTACAGACAGTTGTACGTGCTTATGTGACCATCTAGTTAACAATTATTCACATCATCGTAAAACGAACAGGTCTGATGCAGGGACTCTCCACTGCTATTGTAATAGGCCAGAGAAAGAGAAGACGTCATTGTGCATCTGCGCGTTACTCTGAGTTATGGTACTATTATACTATATACTATATATTTCACGAGTGAATAGGAAACATATTTAGAATATTTCTGATACTGCTTACATCATGTTACTTAATCAAAGTCACATTTCATATGATGCACATTCAAGCATGCTAATGCTGCATGTCAGGTTAAGTGATTACTATCAGGCCTAAGTAGTAATTATTTTTACATTAATTTTGCTATCGCATAGACTCCTAACCTGATATTATATCAATGTTATATTGATGTCGTTGAGTTTGATGTACATTTTAATCACAAAACTACACAATCGCTGCGTTCACACGAGACTCCGTATTTATGAAATACGGTATTTGCGAGATACCGAATCTGAGACAAATTCGCGACCGAGCGTTCACATGCTGATTCGCGGCTCCAGAAATGCCATATTTGCGAGCTGCGAGCTGCTTTAGTACACTGGAAAAAAAAATGCGTCCAAGCGAACAATGCGAAATAAACAATGCAATGCGCACCAACTGCCAATAAAATACGTGGACTGGTCCGTGCTCGACAGTTCCACTCGCGTTACACTGGAACTGTCGAGCGCGGACCAGTCTATAAAATACGCGGCTTCAGAAATTCGGTATTTAGCATTCACACGAGAGAAATACGTGGTCCAAGAGATTCGGAATTTCTCAAGCACGGCAAATAATTCGGCATCTGGGAAGCCGCGTATTTCAACAAATACCGAATCTATTTAGATTCCGTATTTCTTGGACCGCGCATTTTGCTTCGTGTGAACGCTAAATACCGAATTTCTTGCTACGTGTGAACGCGGCTAATATCTTGCCCAGTCTGCGAGAACATTTCGACTGTTGATTGGAATCAACTCTCACTGAAGTAATTCCCACTAACGTTTCAAGAGTGCTTCCGAAGAGCGCCAGTGACTGAGACAAATCTTGTACATACGAGAGTGTAATCATGCCCTAACTTTCGTCGATTCCGTTTACTTTTTCCTTCCCACAGAGAACGTCATAAGCAGCAGACTGCACAGGTTGAGATGGGATCGGACAAGAGAGGAACGGACGACTATCAGGGGTCAGCTGACATCGAGTCAGCGGTCAATGAGTCTGCAGGACTCGATGATGGCTTCCGACCTAGCATCGACAGTACGTATACGCTGTCTATACACAAGTACCGCTCTCCGTAAATAAGCTTTCCCAATTAATAAATTGGAATAATAATGATGATTAATATTCCCAATACTAATGAATATTGCTTTCCCAAAAGTTTGCATACAATCGAAGCTATATGTAAGGGCACATTTATGTTTTTTCACGATTTGTTGGAATTCGTTTGGAATTAAATCTGTTAGTGTAGGGAGGATTTCACGCATGCATCTTACCTTCCTTTGCATGGCTCCTACACCCACATTGACAGGGCTTCAGTGGTTTAGCCTCTTGTTTCAGACGACGTTTATAGCCAGCCGCTGGGGAGTCGGCAGCAGGAACAGATGGGCACTTCATACGAGGAGCTGCGCAGCAGGAATCGCAGCGAGTATAACAAGAGGTTTGAGGTTCGGCAGACGGACTCGGACTCTAACGCTCCGTCTTCCAGGCCTCCTCTTCAGCCTGTGTATAAACCATCAGAGGAGAGATTGTTAGGTATGCGCTCAGTGCATTGTTGCCGTGGGGGGTTTTTTGAGAGAGAGAGAGACCTGCAGTTTTGTGCGAATATTAGCTTGCTTTTCCACGATGAGAATTCATCAGCGTGTGCATTTATTAGATTTACGTTACATGAGCAATATTTTGGACCCCCAGCATGCATGTGTTTTTATTGAAAAGAATTATTTATGCAGTTATGTCACATAGCTTGCTGTATTTATTTTAATTTATGAGGTAAATTGACGAGTTGGAATAATATATGATGGCCCTCCTACTGTCTTCATAGAACATACTGTGTGCATTGCTGTAACTTAATTTGGTGTCTTCCCACTGGACCTGAATTTAACCTCATGCAATCACTCTGTACTGTAGTAAAGCGTGTATTCCATTGTGGTTACCACTGCAAATCTACATACTCACGCATTGTAAACATGTGCTTTGATTTCAGAAACTAAAAACAAGTATGGCGACCGGTGGGAGAAATAGCCCTGAAATGTTGAAAGTCACAGCTCACTATGTGCGTGTCTACCTGCACCTCTTGCCGCTACTAAGAACAAAAACTTGGAGTGCAGTAAAATTAGGAGTAAATGCCTTTGGGCTATAAATAGCATGAGAAGAGTGAACATGGTTTGACATAGTTTGTCGGAAAGAGTTAGTAAGGGTTATTTACTATATTATGTTGTGTCAACTGAAAACATGGATTTTGAAAGCAAAGCTAACATTTAATGGACTGAAACAAAACAAATAGGGATTCAGAATTGTACACTTTCGATTGAAAATGTTAGATTGCAATTGAAATGTGAGCAATAAATGTGCATTTTCATTGTTTCACTTTAAAATTCATTTTCCATTTTGCTCATGTCCATCAAATGTGTTTAGCAATGAGATAAATATCTGTGAGGTGTGAAATGCTAGATTGATATATAATCGTGTTCCACCACCCGTATAATGCAAATAATCGTTTGTAACCTGTTAGGCATATGATAGATATGGCCAAGATTGTTATCGCTTTTAATAATAAAAAGCTTGTTAATGTAAAGTCTGTTAATAATAAAGGAAACCTGAGTATTATTTATATGTAGTCATTTTTGTTCACTACTCGTGACCTATATTATCGAAATGGTAAAAGAGAAAATGGAAACTCTTTACACAAACCATCAATCAAATGTTCCTGATCAAATTCTCACTTTCCTTTGGCGCCAGTAGACGTGCCAACTCGCCTATTGACTGACAATGAAGTGGTGTCGTTTACCGCCTCATGTTTGGCAAAGTCTTAGAATGCAAACAATATAATATTTAAAAACCGACCGTACAGCTGTAACTTGTCGTTTAGAAAGGTGTGGTAGTTTGCCAAGTTTATGTGCTTGGTTACCTTAGTATATTGACAATCTAGTTAAATGCCATTACAAACTGCTATTGACATAAAACCTGAGCCATACGTATACTTAGAGCGGATCTAGGAAGTCTGGAAGGGAAGAGTGATGAAGGTGGACGGATTAGTTGGTTGGTCAGTGGTCACTCCCCACAGATTCTTTTTTGGAGACAAAATCCAAAGGATATTGAGTGTGTATTTTATACTTTGAATCACGTTATTCTGTTTCAAATGGGACAAATGGTGGCCATGCGCCGAAAAAATCTTAATTGCCGTTACAAAAGTGGACACAGACCACACTGAACCCCCTCTGGACCTGTCCCTTAAAAAAGTGCTCTTGGACGTCTCTATATATAAACACAGTGCAGGAAAACGCTAGTCACCGCTGACGCGCGCTCAGGACCGCACATCAGTGTTTCTTGACACGTTCAGCTACGATATGAAGCTGGTGATCGTCTGCACGGTTGTCGTCGGTGTGCTGCTGCTGGATGCCAGCTCGGCGCTGCAGACGTCTGAGAACTTCCCGCAGTCAGCGCTGCTAGACCCAGAGGGAAGGGTGACCTTATACTGGAAGTAATTATACCCATTACTTGCTACATCTGTGAGTGTGTGCAGGCGTCCGCGCGCGCGTGCGTGCGTGCGTGCGTGTTCGTGTGCGTGTGCGTGCGCGTGTGTGCACGTGTTCGCTAATTTCGAAATACTGGTAACCAGAATTGTATCAATAAAAGATTATTATTGATAAATAGGACGTGTAAAATGTACGGGCTTAGTTACGGATCAATCTTTTAAAATTGCCACAAGAATTTTACTGAATGAATCTGTAGAAAGAACATCTGATACACGCGTAGGTTCGACAGCACACACATAGTCTTTGAGATTCACGCGGAAACTACGGGATGGGTTGGTTTCGGCATCTCTCCTACAGGCGGGATGAAAGGTAG